CCTCCCCCTATCCCGGCCCATATCTTTCTTCTCTCAAATTGCGAATGCCAGGCGTTCCTCGGCTTCTATTTAAATGTAATTTGTATCTCGACCACCACCTGCACGCCCTATACCTCTAGCTTATGGGTACTTCCTTTTTCCACACTCTCATTTCCACACGGAAGATTTCCGGCTATTTAGAGGGACCTCGCGGTCCCATTATTATACCGAGCAACTTTTCTCAGTTCTCAAAAATTCCACAAAGTAAATTAATGTTAAAATCCTAGCTTCGGTGATGATAAATGCAAGGGCACGATTTTTTTTACTCGATTCTACAATATTGGTGGATTACACTTGAAATATTCTCGTGGGATTCTACAATGAGAAGGACAATTCCATTTTTAATTGAAGAATCGATTATTATTGATAAATGGTATAAATAATTTTTTTAATTACGTCTTTTAGTGCAGTAGAACGGAAATTTTAACGGGATTTTCATGCCGTCATGGTTATTTTACTGACATTCTTCTCTCGGTGTTCTCGATGCCGATTGAGATCTTCAGATACGAGGGGACACGTGGCCTGACATTTCCCACGGGATGTCAGGGGGCAGATATTGTCCAGGGGTGCGAGAGTCGCGTGCCCCGGGAATTCGCTATGATTGTAATTGCTCACGATCACCAAAAAATCGTCAAACCATTACACTATTTATTTAGGCCCTTTTTATCCGCCGATGTGGGGGGATCGGGACGAATTATCTGGGAAAGTACCAGAAAGAGTTGGGCGCCGCAAATTGCCGTTTACAGGACGCGAGGGCGGACTTTCTGATTTATTGGGGGATCTAATGACAGGTTATCATCGCCTGTGATACGGTGACACGTGCAGGTATAGGAGATGGGTTTCCACTTGAAGATGTAAGGAGACCTTGAGTAATAATAAATTTGCTGAAATCAAAACTCATCAAAAATTTTCCAATTCAAAATTCAGCATTTCAGTTAAAAAAAAATACACACAAGAAAATTGTTCAATGAAAATAAAATAATAATATCAATTTTTTATTGGAAGATCCCGGGTAAAAAAAATTGTAATCTGAAAGGTTTTGAAAAATTTTCCAAAAATTTGAGTAGGAAATTGTTTTTTAATAATTTTATATAAATAGATTTTATATAAATAGATTTTGCTGAAAAATATGAAATTCTCAAGAATTCAAAATTTTATTTATAAAATGAATATTAATTGATGAATTTACTAGGGGTCGGTAATGAGTTTATTTACGATGGAGTGAGTGATCTGGAGGCAGATATCGACAACAAGCTTGAGCACTCGAGACGACAGTCTGGATTGATGCAATAAAAACGATCCGGCTTACGTCGAGGCTTATCCCTGAAGCCACCCCCCTGAAGAGCATTCAGCATCGGAAGTGGGCTGAATACACCCTCGTGTTTCTCTTCCGTCTCCTGCCACTGTTGCGTTGGGCACCCTCTCTTTATTCCTCCCAGTGAGAGCTGTACGTATCACACAATCGCGATTCCATACGCCAGGAAGCTGCGAGACACGCACTATTACCGAGGCGTCACAGGGAGACAATATTATGACGTCTCTATCCGGGAGTATTGCGGCCCCCGTGTTACAACCATCGGCCATTATCCATTTCCCCCTTTACCACCCCTTTTGCCACCCCCTTTGCCACCCCATCATGGTGCTTCGCACTTCACGCTTCATGCTAATATAATCGATCCGGCGTCTAGCCATTTCAAAACCCTCATCCCCTGGGATACGCGTTTTCCTCATCTCCAATCATTGTTCATTCATCATTTATGGGTTGTAAATGATTTTTCATTCATTGTTGACCATTGCAACTTTTTTGGAATTTTTAGACCGAAAAATTCGATCTGCGATCTGCAATTCGAATTATACCCGAAAAATTAATTCGAATATTTTCAATTAATTTCCATTTATTAATTATAAAATTAAATGGAGCAGATAATTTTATTAAATTATCATCGTGTCGGTGATCGGAAATTTGGGAACGAGTCTTGAGTTAAAAATTTAATGCGGAGGGAAAAAATGTGAAAAAAATGTTGAATTCTCAGATTTCCACTGGCGAAGGCGTAAATAAAATGGGACAAGAAAATTGGCACATGGGTTTGATACGTCTTGTGGTTATTTGCGAGATATTGGCCGTGGGAGATCTCATGTTCCCCACGGAGCACGACAGGCGAATGCTTGGACTCGTAGTGGCACCGCTGAGTTGGGTGTCATGGGGATCGCGACGTTGAAATCCGCTGACGTCTCGGACCCCCGTCGCCACCCCCTTGGACTACCAACTCACCCAGTCGGAGCAACGGCCTCCAACGAATTCCCATCAGCCACTCCACAGCCCTTTACACCTCTCCCTTTATGAATAAAAATAAACAAAAATAAAATAAAAAAATAGACACAGATTTCGTATTATTTTGGAATTCATTAAATGAAAGAATTCCCGGATAAAAAAAAATTGTAATCGCAATATTTTTTTCAGATTTTCAAAAAATTTCTCGAAAGCTTTTCAGAAATTTTTTTTTTGAAAGAAAAAAAATCGCTCAACAAAATAATTGTATTTTTGCGGAATGTTTTGAAAAATGAAATGAAAAAAAAATAAAATTGTTTTGTATTCCGATTTTTTTTATTTCATAATTAATTACAACGAAATACAATGAGATAAAAAATTCAGGAGAAAAATCGCCGGATTTTCACAACTCGCATTAATTTTCAGAGAAAAATGGAAAATCGTTTCCCCAAATAAATTTCCTCGGCGAAATATTTATTTTCACATGGCGGGATGACTTTTTGGGGATTTGAAAAACAGAGTGAAAAATATTTTGACGGAATTAGTGGTATTGTGACGTTTGAGAGTTCTCGAGATATATTCTTTAACCAATGGCAAGTGGTTCCGCCGATGGTTAACAATGGCAGAGAGTCAGGGATCGAGGGAGAGGCCATTGTAGAATCGATTCCTGTCGTATTATACGATCCTAACGACAATGATCCAGAGTGGTGTACGAAACAGAATCTGGTGACACATGTCATGTCGTCGGTGGATATAAGCCACCACTGGAGGGTTGTGCACCCAAAGTGTAGGGAAAAAATAAAGCGAATAAAGATGGAGAAAAACCTGGAGAGCCGAAACAGTTGGACACTCGATGTCGTCTCGAATGTCGTTTGACTGGCGTTTCTCCGGTCCTCCACCTTCTCATTTTTTTTTTCCATACATTTATTGTATTCAAGCTCGGTCGACTTTTTATCCTCAATTCTTCGATACATACCTGAGCCACCATTGTGCACAGCCTTTCATCATTTAACGCTCAAACATTTTCCCTGAAAGTATTTTCATTATTATTTTTTCGTCGAAATCCAGGGCGAAGTCAGCTCTCGGTGGAAATCGGGGGATGGGGTAAACCTGTCGTTTTTAATCATTTCCAGTTTTATTGTGGAAAGGTAACGAGAGACTAGGGGATTTTGAGATGAAATCTTTACGAAACTTGATAAAAATTGTCGCTCACATTTTTTCACCTGGAGATTATTATTTTTTTTGTCTCTTTTTCCTCGTTATTCTTTTCCGTTCAACTGCACGTTGAGTCAACCCCCGGTGGAAATGCGATAATTAGCTGGGGGTGAAGACGAGGTATCATTTTAATTATTTCCCCATCTCATCGAGTCAGTCGATAAAACCCTCGGTGGGGTAATCAAGCTAAAGGGCGTTAATGTCACCGGAGGAGAGGATGTACTGAGGTACTTCCGGGAGAGAAAACTTGGAAAATATTGCTGTGGGGATTACCTTTAAAGAGATTGCCTCTCGTGGATTTCTAGGTGTCGTCCATCAACAGGGTACTGAGAAATCTAGCTGCCCAGAAAGAGCAGCGACAACAGCACCAGCAGCAGCACAATCCCCAGCAGCAACAGGGGGTTGGAGTTGGTGCTGGAAGTCCTTCTGATAGTGTTTATGATAAGCTGAGGCTGCTTAATGGACAAACCACTGGATGGCCAAGGCCCAATCCCTGGTCAGTATTTCACCATTAATTATTTTTAAACACCGAAAAAAAACACATCGTTTAAAAAATACGACAATCCATTTAAAATTCCGGTGTTTTACCCAATTTTTACATAAAACAGACATGTATTCATTTATTTATTTATTTGTGATATATTTCATAAATTTTTATGATATAATTCACCAAAAAATTCAATCTCCACAGTTTCTTTGTGGAATTTTCAATTCATAATTGCATAAATTTTTGAAATTTATATAAAAAAATAGATACGATGTAAATATATATATTAACAAATGAAATGAATTCAAAGGTATCCAACTGGCGCTGGAAGTCCTTTTCCATCTCTCCAACCTTCGCTGAGTCCAAGTCACTGTACAGCATTGCCACCGGATCCATCGGACATTTTGCACGCGAAAAAAGGTAAGAACGATGATAATGATTAAAAAGAAACAATGCCCGTGAAAGGGGAGTTGTCTGGCCGCAGAGATGGCCTACGGCCTTCGCGATACCGCGACGTAAACATGTGTGGTCCTGGCGTGGGGGCGTGACGCTTTTAATTAATTAATTTAGGGCAGCCCGTGTCGGCCCAAAACGATACTAACATCAATGTAATTCGTGTATGGAGGTCTTGCGGTGTACCGCACCGCGTAATGTCTATCCCAGTTATTGCGAATAATAATTGTAACCAGCCGTGGATAACGCGGGTACAATCGGCCAATGAGAGCTGCACGTTTGCTCACGCGTGCACGTGTATCACTCGTGATCTCTTTGAGGATGGATCAAACGCTCTTCATCCGTGAGGAATATTAACGAGAACAAAAAAATGTCAATTTCATCGCTGGAAAATTGAAAAAACTTCAGCAACTCTGAAAACATCAATAAACAAATGAAAAAAAAAATTAAAGTAGGAAAATCTGGTGGAAAATTCAGGAGACTTCAATTTCCGGAAAATTTCACATTATTTTTTTTGCGAATTCTTAATGATTTTAGCGTTCAACTGAATTTAATGATTGAACAAAATTTTTAATTGATAAAAATGTAAGTGAAAATGCGGTATGGGGATCTTTGAGGTTCATTTTGACTTGGAATAATTTTTTTGGGATTGAAAAAATACGGGGTCGAGTATTTTCTCTGCAATAGACATGTTATCAGAGAAGGGGAGGTAGTTGATACAAATGGCAACTATTGCCGAGCCCTCAACCACACGCGGGCCCTCGGGCTCGGATTATACGGGTTGGGGGTGTTTTCGTTAACTTGTTTCCAACCACATGGGGACGGGGCAATGCCCAAGGGTACGAGGGCCCCGAAAGAGCGACAGCAAATCAGATTACGTTCCAATCATCTCCACGAACTTTGATTTATTTTTTTTTATTTTAGATGAATTTTCCCGGATTTATGTCGGTCTCATTCGGCAACTGGGAAAAATCACTCGTCATATCCCGAATTTATTTGAATTTTTCAAAAATTTAAATAGGAAATTTTTTAAATAATTTAGATAGCGTATTTTTTGAGAATATTGAAAAATAAAATAAGCAAGAAAACAACAATATAATTAAAAGAAAAAATTATATTCTCAAAAATTTAAAAAAAAACAAAATTTTGAAACATTTTTCAAAACATTTCCCAAAGATAAAATTATTTCGCTTCCGGATTTTTTTTTGTTTCAAAAAAAAAATTCCGAAAAGTTTTCCAGAAATGTTTTGAAAATTTGGAAAAAATATTCCGATTGCAATTTTTTACCCGGGTATTTGATCATTCAACCCTAAAAAAAGCGTCAGATATTTCACCAGCACCCGGGAAAAAATTGCGAGTAAAAAAAAAAACCTGAAATTCTTGCTAGACTCAAAATTTTAATCCATTAACTCTGATTTATTACGAGCAGAGGAATTTGTGCAAAATCATGATGAAAAACTGTCAATCTAAAAAAAAAACGAGCGAGACGCTGAGAGAGGTGATTTCAGTGATGGCCGTGACATTTCTATAAATATTTCCGTCCAGTTCATTTGACGTTTGCACTCTGACGTATTCTTCCGGAGTTTCTAATATTCTGAGAGGATGCGAGAGGTCCACAGAGGATATGTCGAAGTATGACACATTGGACGAAACGAAAGTCATATTTCCTTGTAGCCTGTACCGAGGTGAAAAGACAATGGACTGTCGACCCCTTTTGGTACTGTCTTTCACCCCGATTTCTTTCTCCCCAGCCTCCACGTGGAATTCTCAGTACATAAAGCTGTACAGAGAGTTTGTACACCCTTTGTGGCACCCAGAATAATTCCGAGGGAAAAAAAATCCACTGTACAAGGGAAAATTGAAAATACATCCGTACAGAGATGCAAACCCCTTTCATACGATTCATTTAATCTTTTTTCCCGATATATGAATTGAAATGGATTCACTGATTTTTGCAAAACAATATGGCTGCACTGTGCTGGGCGTTTGTCGCTGAGGGAGTAGACAGTCGAGCCATTATACTGTCGACCTCTTTATCTCCTCCTGAAGTCTTTTTCCTACCCTGTGTTTCACCATTTTTCTACCTTCTTTTTACTATTTTCTTGTGCCCCGGCTTCCCAGTGTCGTACTCGCTGCAATGTGAAAACCTTTTATCGTCGATCGAGACAATGCGCGCTCTGTGCAGTGTTCCGATAAAGGTTTCTTCATCGCAAATAAAAGGCCAAAAAAATCGGTGAGTTCAAAAAATCTATTCTCCAACAACTCTCATAAACCGCCTGTCAATGATTTTTATTATATTATTTATGAGCTGATAGTTTGGTGATAAAATTTTTTCTCTGTAGCGATGTTTATGGAAATTTTCTCTGAAAGGCGTATTAAAAAATATTTTGAAAATCCAGTTGCACAGTCTTTTGACGTAATTATCACGGGTGTATCCTCAATTCCCCCAGAACCCACGCCCTCCATCCACTCCCCCAGGAGATCCTTATCCAATCGACCATAGGAATAGGAGTGTCGTGGTGATCGCGCGGTCGGATAAACACACTCCTGCCATGGAAGACAAAAGCTGAGATATATCGGGTTGAGGAAAAAAGGAAAAGATTAACGAGAATATGGGTATCTCGGGGCAGCACGCAATGGTGATGGTGTTCCAAGTCGAGAGAGCAATTGTAACCTGATACGCCACCAGGAGGTCAGGGCAGAGATTGACGAAGATGATAAATTAGACTCGCCTGATGCAGGACAGCTGAGCTACACCGACAGCTCACTGACCTGCAAATCCGATGCATTTTTATTCTGTTCTTTTAATGTCTTGATGTTTTTTATCAACATTGCGCGGTTGAAAAAACAATTGGTATTGCACTTGGAATTTTATGGAATAAACTTGAAATTTTGGAATCGATTTTCATTCATCGTCAATTCATCGTCAACTCATGATTCAGGATTATTATTTTATTGATTATAATTTAATTTTATAATTTTATGAATTATCATTTACGACGTTATCGGAATTATTTTACAATTACCCGGGTAATAAAAATTGTAGACGGAATATTTTTTCCAAATTTCCAAAAAATATCTAGAAAGTTATAAAAAAAATTTCCTATTCAAATTTGTGAAAAATTTTTAAAACATTTCCCAAAAATACAATTGTTTTGTTACCCGATTTTTTTTCAGAAAAAAAATTTTTCTGGAAAGTTGTCCAGAAATTTTTGGAAAATTTAGAAAAAATGTTCGGATTACAATTTTTTTTACCCGGGTACGCCAATCATCCGTAATTTCTATTGAATAATCAATACCTTCCAGAATGAAAATTTCGTTATTTAACTTCGCGATAACGTTTTCTCGCGAATATTTGCCCACCGTCACCATCGATAAATTTTGGGGATTTTGTGAGAGAATTCAAAGGACAGAAAATAAAAAAAAAAAAAAACCAAAGGGATTGCAAGTGATCTGCCCGGTAATGCCAATCGATATTCTCCCCTTGAAAGACAAGTCCTGATAGCCGACTGGGGCTATTTAGGGCAGCACTGGCAGAAGATAGAGCCTAAGAATTTGCTCCAGGGTAAACTGGTGAACGTGATGTGAATTTACGTCTCTGAAACCGCGTTCCTTCCGGGATTTCGCTGAGAATATTTTGAATCTCCCCATATCGATCGAGTCAAGTCGAGGAGTAAAAAAAAATACCAACGAGTAGTCAAGTGAGAGAGAGAAGAAAAATGAAAGGAGAAGAGGAGAGATTGGTTTCGTTCCTTTTCGTCGAGTGCATAACCGGGGGATGATTGAAGACCCCCCCGTGGAGTTTTGCCTCGGTCCTGGGCTTTTTCTATGAAACTCTGGTACAACGCGTTCCACCTGCTCGATGCTAGCTCGGCTTTTATATTATCGTCGACCTCCTCCTGGGTATCATTCACCAATGCATCACATATTCCGCTGTCTTGTTTATTCTTTTTATGCCGATTGATATCCCAGCCGTACCCTGAGCCCGTCAACTGGGCCATTGCCTCAATAAACGCACGAAGGAAGAGGACGATAAAAGCCTTCCAGTTATACCCTGTACAATGCACATGAATCCCTTCCTCATTGCCTTTGTGTCACTCCATAGGCTTTCGATTAATACACTGCACCCTCCTACCGATCTTTAATCAAATTGGCATTTTTTCATAATCCACATATAAATATAAAATGCAATCCGACCTGAAGAAAAATATCAATTCAAATTTATCATTCGATTTTTTTAATTTTTGAAATTCCCCAATTTTTATTCGAATTATGAAAAATTAAGATACCGTTACTTAACATTTTCCAGTCGATTTCCGTAATTTTTCCTATATATTTCTCTTCGTGGGAAAGCTCGAGAGGAAGACCATCTCTTGCTTAAATAACCACTTGTATTGTTCTCCATATATTTTCCTGAGTGTTAGGGTAAATTGATAAGAAGCCGAGGGGTGATAATAGTTGAGCAAGAATTCTCACTAAAATGCCGAATGAGTTTGTTCTGGATGGACTCGGTGTTCCCACAAGTCTCGCAGCGGGATATCGCGTACTTTCTTAATCTCTCCGTCGGAAACAAACGACGGGAAAACAACAGGAGTTCAAGCTTCGAGTTTGAATGAGACGAGGGAGAAAGGGGTAGTGTGGGAAGGTACATTGCCACCCCGAAACTGGCATTCATCCTGGTTCACCCTAGCCGCCGGATGACTCGGCCAGATTGACTTCCAGACCGCGAACTGCACCAGATGTCACGTCGTGGACGAACGTCTTTTCCTTGCCCTTTAGATCATGAGGAGATCAGGTCTTTCCTCCCCATTGTTCCACCCGCACCCACGCGAGTCGGTAATTAAGTCAGACCTCACATTTCAGAATTATTATTTCCACCTGCTCATTTCAATGAACTCAAGACCCTCACGATTTCATTTTACAACGCATTCTGTACGCGTTTTACTGTTTTTTAATTTTTTATTTAGAATAACGAAGAATTGCAATTCAGTTCTCAAACGATTGAATGGTTTCAACCGGTTTTCATCAGATCTTAATCAAAATCTCGAACTCTAAATGAAATACTGGCATTTTTGTCATTATCTTTTTTGTAGACCTAATTGAGAACGACAAAAAAGGTATCTATAAATTTTTTTAATAATAACAAAATTATGTGTTTTTGAAGAAATGTTGAATTATCGGTGGAGCAGATTTGAAAAATAAATTTCTCTCTGCATTACGCGAGGAATAAAAAATAATCACCCTTTTATCAGCGGAATAGTCCGAAGAAAAAAGCATAATGGCGGATGGCTTTTAATCTCCCCAAATCCACTTTTTATCGGATTTCGCGCAGAATGAGATCGACGGAGAAAAGAATACGCGTATCTACCTTCCGTAAAAATTAATATCCCGTACGTCGATGGTCTGCGAAGTATAATCGACAAAGGGCGACGCTCGGTTGTTACCCCCCAGAGGGGGATGATATCGCCGGGGATGTATAGCTGTGAACCTGGTGAAAACTTTGTTTTCCCGAGTGCACCCCTTCGAAACTAGAGAGCGAAAAGACGGAGGAGAGTAACGATTGAGGGTTATAGTCCGAAACTTTGCCAGTGGAGCCGTTTGAAGACTCTTTCCAAGCAGTTCGGAAGCTTCGGGTAGTTTCCGAGGGTTGGCCGGTCAGTTCGTGATTTAATTGGTCCCATCGTCTTCTGCACGGACCACCAGTAATTGTCCAAGGCTCAAGGACCGGATGTAGGTCGATGTGTGGCATACCCTACCCCTTTATTGGCATAATCCTACACAGGGAGTGCTATTATAGAAAAATAATCCGTTTTTCCGGTTAAAAAAATATTAAATATCTCATTGTTTTTGCCCTACGCCGCATAGGAAACAATGATGATTACTTGATTACAGAAAAAAAAAAACAGGAAAGACCCGAAAAATGTAATCATCCATACGTACTCGTGGCGCAGTCCCAAAGATGCGGAGGGATCGCACCGGGAGAACCCCCAAAATCAAGAACAAGGGATAAAAGACAGACCGAGAAAGATAGAACTTATGGAACACGCGATGGCGCTTGCCGTAGCAGTTTGAGAGCGATATTAAATTTCTGGAATTTTGCGGTGAAATAGCGTGTCTGCTAGCTGTGATCTTACTGCGCCACCCCTTAACCCTCCCACTCCCCCCAGTATTTCGCAATTCGACTTGGCATAACTCGAAATCCAATAATGCGGCAAAAGAAATAACTTGCAACTCGATATATCGTAAACCCTCTGACGCATTCATCATACTTTATTATTGTTTTGAGCCATGTCTTAATCGTGGGATTATGTACAAGTGAGAGTAATTTTAGAAAGTAACGAGAAATCGCTTCTCCGGTGTCTGATAATTGGCGTAGGGTGAATTAACTGGTGCAGCAATCGGTGCAGGAAGTTGAGCGGCAAGTGGTTGGACCTCCAACTTGGCTGGAGCATTTGCCGTAATTCTCTGGCTCCTGCCACTGGTCTCACTAATTTGTACAACAGGAGTGGCTGACGGCTCATTAACAGCCACTTGAAGCCTCGCCGGTGAGAACTCGAGTTTCTGCAGTGGCTGATAAGCATAGACCGCTCCTCTCAGTGGTTCAACATTCTCAGCTTGAATTTGAGCGAAGTACTTCATCGCAGCTATATCCTGACTGCTCATGTACTGTACCCTTTGGAGACGTCCGTCGGGAAGTGCCACGTAGTACTCACCAGTTTGTCTCTGCTGTTCGTCAACGTCACCCTCCTCATCGAGCTCATTCACCGAGTCAACTGGCTCCGCCTGCAACAATCGGATAATCAAAATTTTTGGAGATAAACCGGAGAAATATTGTTTGGTGGAGCAACTCGGAGACGTGCGCTCTGGGTCGTGATTGAAAGTGCACGACGAGGTGAATACTAAACAGGAAGAAGTACCCGGACAAATCGAATGGTATAGACCTGATTTGAATTCAACTGGAGTTTAACTGATAAAGTCGGGAGGCAATACTTGTCACAAGTGGCTTTGGGCTTTTTTTTTTAAATAATCATTTCACCTGGGATTCAGTTCCGATGGGAGTTGTTGGCTCGTCGTAATCTGGGATTGAAGGATCGGTGGTGGTGGATTTTGGGGCTCCGTATTGCTGATTAAATGGTGCACCGTATTGGGTCTGAGGGGCTGCATACTGTTCCTGGGGTTCAGCTGGTGCACCGTATTGGTTCTGAGGTGCAGCTGGTGCACCGTATTGGTTGCGAGATTCAGCTGGTGTGCCATATTGTTTCTCGGGTTGGGCAGGGGCGCCATATTGTTTTTCAGGCTGAGCAGGTGCGCCATATTGTCTATCAGGTTGGGCTCGAGGAGCCAATTGCTTAGCTGGGGCGCCATATTGTGCCTGCAATTGCGCTGGTGCGCCATATTGTCTCTGAGGTTGGGCTGGCGCCCCATATTGTCTCTGGGGCTGAGCTGGTGCGCCATATTGTCTCTGGGGCTGAGCTGGTGCGCCATATTGTCTCTGAGGCTGAGCTGGTGCCCCATATTGTCTCTGAGGCTGAGCTGGTGCCCCATATTGTCTCTGGGGCTGAATCGCTGGGGCTCCATAGCTGTTCACCAATGAAACCTCTTGCTTCTGCTTCTGGGGGAGCTCAAAGGCTGGACCCTCAGGCCTCCATCCTGATGCCTGATACGGAGCATCTCCTTGAGGCTCCTCCTGCTGCTTGGCAAAGTAGTAAGTCCTGTCGACCTGCGACTGCTGACGATAACTCGGCGGCTCCGCCAGTGTCATCGCGACGAGAAAACTAAGACCGATAAAAACCTGAGGAGAAAGATCAATTCATTTGTAATGTACCTTAAATTTGAATACTTATCCCTGATTTATAAATGAATTACCTTCATCTTGAATAGCTGTTGGTGGCTGAATGTCTGGAATGAACTGATGTCGATTGCTCTAGTGTTGGGGGTTTTTATACCCGTCTGGGAGTCCCACACTACGGCGATGACATTGGCCCTCTTAAAAACAACAATGTCGAACGCACCAGAAGGTCGTTACACGTATCATGATTGGCTCATCGGATTTTCATTTCTCCTTGTTTCATTCGACGCGCATCCGCTGCTTGTCGATTATTCTTTTTGATGATTATGACTGAAGGAGGCGAATCGATTTCCGGTTGTCTCCTCGTCTCAAAATTATCCGGATATACATCAGTCGTTGTGATACTGGCGGCCAGTTGATACGAGGGATGACCCCCTTGTATATCAATTCAACTCGGCCTCTCCATCGGGCTGACCCTATCTCTCGGTGAAGGACGATGCGATTACAGCATCGATTGTTATTTCGAGCGAGCCCGGACACTCGCTCGTGTCACCAGCCAACCATTCGAATACCAAAGCGTCCAGCCGAACTGTGGTATGGACATTACAAATTCCTGTCACACCTATACCTCATCATTCGTGCGCGACGATTCGCGATAATAAATTCACGTGAACTCAATTCTGACCAGCATCCGAAGACGTTACGAATTCGTTATAAAATCAATTTGCAAAATTTATTCTTGAGAGTAGACTAATTGATCTTCCTCTGGTGGTCATTTCTCTCGGACTGACTCCCAGTGAAATTCACTTTCCACGGAAATCCCCAACACGTGGATTCCGTCCCTGGAAAAATTACAATTATCACCTCTATCTTCAATTCTCCCCCGAAAATTAATAACAAATACCGTAATTCATTCTCCTCGTAATTACAAACAACCTGTGCGTGAAATTTCAATTTATCGTAACACCGAGCAATAATGACTACCCCGCATTTTTCTCTAAAATACTTGTCCATATCAAAATTCCTGCAAATGTCCGAAGCATTGCAAATCCAGAGCCTTGAGTCCTCGCAAAGAAAAAAAAAATCGAGAAATCTCTCGTTTTCCCCCAATAGCCGTTCTCAGAACTCTAACAGTTCTATTTCCATCCGTAGGACGTGGAGTAAAAAAAATGGGATAAAAAAAAAATCGGTGAATCTCTTTTTGGCTGGAGATTTGCCGAAAAATCGACGATAAAGTTGAGCTTGGGCTCTCCACCGCCACGTACACATATATTTATCCGCATATATGAGAGGGGGGGGCGAGGGGGAATGGAGGATGAAAAAGGTGGGGAGGGGTGCTCCATGGCAAAGCAAATTATTCACACTCAAACGACTCCATTTCAATATCGGGCCGAGGCCCAGGGACAAAAGAAGGGCGAGATGCCTGTCTCCCTTCGGCTTTTCCCTCCAACCCCTCTAGTTCCTCTATATCGTCTACCTCTAGCTCTTTCTGCAATCTCACCCTCTCCCTCGCCCTTCCTAGATTTCCTCCCTTTTTTTTATATTATTATTATTTTCATGTGACTCGAGTCATTCGGGTTATCATCGCACATTTTTCAGCAGTCATTTCTCCACTCTCAGATGGCATCCTGAATAATTCATGTCGTGAGAGGGATATTATTTGAATTCAATGGGAATTGATGTCGTGAAAGAAAATATTGATGCAGTGGAAAAGGAAAATCAGTGGAGTTGTGAAATCGATGGACGGTAGGAGAAATTGGAAAATCGGGATAATTTGGGTCAGTTCGGGAATTTTTACGAGGTAATTATTCTTGTTGGGGAAATTTCTCACCGATCGATATTCTCATGATTTTTTAGAACGTCGGGGTAACAATTAGTCATTAATCACGTTAATTTTTGTTTCACGTGAAGACACATTTTGATTTTTATTTCCAAAATAATTATATTATTAAATATATAATATGTATAATATGTGAATTAATTTCTAGTTCGCACTCCATTCTTATCATTTATCACAAAATTAATGGCAACTCAAAATTTCTCTGGTTTTTCGTATTTTTTTTTTCTGATTCCCTTGGTGCATCGAACCTGGCAGACAAAAAAAATCCAGAGTTGAGTAATCGAATATATAGCGGGGGCGTTTGTCCGGATTCTCGACTTACACGAGAGATAGAATAGAGGGTTGCTGCATGTAAACTGGATTAATCGTCTATGAAGGGAGTGAAAGCCGTTGGGATATCATGTATATTTGTCAGCAGTGTTCATTAACCCCCCTCAATCCCCAATTTCATTAAAATCCAAGGTAAAAAGTAAAGGCTACACCCATGATTGAATAATCACACGATCGATTCTCACCGATAAGTCACACGTGATGATCGACCTGTGCATTATTGTATCGATTTCACGAATTGCGACAGAGAGCCTCCAGCCAATATTGGTGGTCACTCTCGTGTCTCGAATTTTCAATTGCTGTTTAATTTCCTTGTGGTAATAGCGTTAATACTCGCTCGGTGAAATCATTTTGTCTTCCCTTGTGGCACGTACACAAACCCCTGGGGATTCGTCTCCGTGGCTTTTGGCAACCAGTTGCGCCTCCCTCGAGAGCTACTTCCTCCATCAACACTTCTCGTGTTTGATCAAAAGTCGAGTAAATAACATCCAGTCACCGGTTTATCACCCATTAGACACCAATTAATTACGTGTACAGATTTTTACTCCTATTTACGCCTCGCGTCGATGTTTTTCTTTTAAATTAACCTCATATCCCGGGTAAACAAAAAATTGTAATCGAATATAATTGAATATTTTTTCCAAATTTTTAAAAATTTTCTGGAAAACTTTTCAGAAAATAGTAATAACAATAATAAGTTTATAATTAGTTAATTTATTATTCCTTGACACAGGTACCCAACTTATATTACATATTATAGACTAATCCCTTAATAAAGAGCGAATAAGAGGAACTAAGAGCGTTAATGAGTGTGAATCCAGCGCTGGAAACTTTTGAGATTACGACTGAACAGTTGTACTATTTAAAGAAAACAAGAACGGAAAACAGTGGAAGTATTAGTTCCGGGCTGTTAAATCGGGGAAGGGGGTGCGGAGGCCTCTGACTCCTGGAGGTGGACACCCTTCTTAAATAAAAGCCCTTTTCTGGAGTTTAATACTGGGGAACGCGCGCATCAGCTGAAGGCGCGGTTAATCTCCCTTTTGCACCGCGAACTTTGAACTACCATTAGCTCACGCTTTAGCCCAACTATACGCCTCTTTACAACCACCCACCCCTCCCCCAGGTACCAGTAACATTCATTTATTCATCGCCTCATGTCGATTGTGTTGAGTCATACTCGGTGCAACAATTAAACGGCTGTTTAAAAAAAAATTCATTTCGAATTTCAACTCGAGGAACGACTGAAGGAAATTTTTACCATGAGAGAGTCAGGAAATTTTTGATTCTTCATTGATTTAATTTTTATTATTGAATTCCATGTGGCGAATTTCGAGGAATTCAAGAATAATCTTACGAAAATTGAATTTTCAATGATTTCACACGATTTATTTGGATTTCGCAATTTTAGAAATTTCGCAAAAAATTCTGGTAATTTCCACTTAAAAAAAACGAGTAACAAACTGAAATTTACGAGATATTCCAATTATCAAAGAAAACATTAAACGAATACCCAGGAAATACCCAAAACCTCTGAAACTCGACAGCAAATTGGCAAAGACCAAGTTGTTAGCCGAACAATCCGACATTGAAAAAGCCCAAACGTTTAATAAAGAATTTTTAACATAAAATCAGGGGAATCGTGAGGAGACGGAAAAAGTGATAATTCAAAGATTACAAAAAGTAAAAAAAGGTAGGTCGGAGTGGGTTTAATTCGCCAGGCAAACGGCAAGCAGCGGAATTTGATTGAGTTGCGCGCATAAGGAGATTTGCCGGTGGCGTTCGTTGAAGCGTTTGTTGGCAAAGAGGATTGCGAGTAGAAATCTATGGAATCGTTTCATGCAAAAGCATAGAGAGGAGAAGTAGGGTATAAAAGAGAGATAGAAAACGAACTGCCACATTTCTCTGGGCTGTACAAATGACGTTGGCATCATTTCATCTTCTATCTTTCTCACCGCTACCCAAATAACCATAGAGAAAACGGAGGGAGTTACAAATGAATCGCGTAATAACCCTAGCCCCCTCTCCTCCCCCTCGGGAAAGGCTTCAACTGCTTATGTATTCGATCGTACGGATGGTTGCACTTAATCGAGTTGCCGATATTTCCTTTCTGCACTGGGGTTCATCGCTCTATTCCTTTTACTCCTCGGGCTTATGTCTCTTCAACAAGTCTTTTCCACTAAGTTATTACTATTTACCCTTATTGAAATATTACCGCACATTTTTTCACCGGTTGTGTTTGATTTACATGTTTTTTTTTATTAATTGAGAAATTTCGGTTCGAGTACTCGCGATATTCGCGGAAATAATGAAATTCAAGCAATAATTCCCGAACATTTTTTAGCCATTCAAATAATGTTGTAATTGAAGGTTAAATAATTTTTAATAATGTTGTAAAACCCTCGTATTTATAAATTTGAAATTATCACATTTTACTTCGGGTAAAAAAAAATTGTAATCGGAATATTTTTTTCCAAATTTCCAAAAAATTTCTGGATAACTTTTCAGAAAATTTTTTCCTTAAAACAAAAAAAACCCGAAGAAAAAAATAAATCACAATCCCGTGCGATCGGCCATGATGACGTCAATCTCTCCTCCCAGAATCAGAATGATAATCGCATTCACAGGGGAGCGAGGTGTCACACCGTAACGAAACTCTCATTTCCACAATACATACCATCCCGTACAACCCGTACAAAAAAAAAAAAAGAGAAAGAAAAAAAAATCCGTCAGAGGGTTCGCAGCAGTACCCCGCATTATACGTTATTAGTCGACCCCTAATAACAATGGCCACCCGTTTTGTACCAAGTAGACACCGATTTCGACCTTTCCACATTTAACATCTGTATCATCTCTCCAACCCCCTGC